TGTGTGTGTGTGTGTGTGTGTGTGTGTGTGTGTGTGTGTGTGTGTGTGTGTGTGCATACTTAAATGCAATGCTTCACCATAACATCAATTCCAGGAAGACAGGGACTATTAGTAACCAGCTCCACATTCACTTCAATTTCCTCTCTAATTTAGCAGAAATTAGATGCTCTGCAGCCCATCCCCCAACCGCTGCCTTCCATTTTAACACATAGATGAGATGTACTGTATTCCTCATGAGAGACAGTATTTGAAAAAGCATAGATATGCATATTGTGCAGGCAGCAGAAGTCTTTGTAGAAATCCGAATTTTTCTTTTCTTTATTTGAGTAAAATTTAAGTGTTAAAAAACAAAACAAAAAAAGGCCAAGGATTAAAATTCTATTTAAGTGCACTGAGRTTTAAATTTGAGCATATCTGCTTTACATCTGATTTTTCTGCCTTATTGTGAGCTCTACTTTCAATTTTTCTTTCCACCTCCGCAAGTRGAAGTCAACCAGTATTTACTCTTCATGTTAAGATTCTATTTTTCAAACCTTTCCAACCACTTAAAGCTGCTCTTCTTAGGTCTGTTTATTGTGGCAAACATGTTTGTTTTATGAAAAATTAAGACAAAGGCAGAAGCATTTAATCAAAAGATCATGGTATTTCTTCTTMATCTAACTCTGACCTGAGTTGGTAWTCAATAGCCTGTCAGCCACTGCAAAAAGTCACAACATTATTAGATTTTGTTTATTGCGTCTGCTTCTTGCGATCAGTCTGGAGACCTTTACCATAAAGAACAATCTTTAATAATTTGACTACAAAGAGTGTCTGTCAGCGGTAAGTGTGCCTGTGGTGCCCTCCGGTTGTAAATCCAACCAGCCTGTCAGTCTTCTGAGTGACGCCTGCCTCACAGTGCAGTGATGGCATTTGGGAAAAAGACGAACTGAGACATTACTTGGCCAGTAACTGAATAATGTATAACCTTGCTCATTTAATCAAAGACAAAGCGCCAACCGGGACTGTCTGAGATGTCACAGCTTTGAAGGCTTACACAATCCTTGAACCTACTATTGACACTGAATTTATCAGAAAATGATGTTATTCTTTCATCAGGCTTGGGGTGCCGTGTCTGAGTGAGCATGAGAGTGGATTACTTCTATCCACAAACAAAACTAAATTACATCACGCAGTGTAAGTTCCTCTCTGTCCTGCTCATGTCATTTCATTTAAAGGTGAGATTCATTTATGCCCACAGCTAAACCTGAAAAGTCTTGAATAAAAAATGAAGCCTTGTCCGGCAACAAACACACAAAAAAGTCTCACACTTACTGATGTGTAGAGGTAGCCCTCACTGTTCATTGCCAGATAGAGTTTGGTCTGCACCCCTTGAATGGCCACCACTCGCAGGCCCACTGGAATGAGGTTGAACATGGCTGAAAAACATGAAAAAGTAGGGGAAAAGGGTTAAACAAAGCTACACTTTAATTACTGATCTGTATTTCTGAAACTGTCCTGAATCAATCTGTAAATTCTGCACAAAACATTCCACTTTAAATTGTCAGTGGCTATTATTCCTGTGTTGGAATAAAATTACAAAAATAAGCTATTAATAAAAGAGCTGTTTTTAATTAAACTTATTTGCAAATGAGTATTTTTATACTCAATTAATTTAGTTCAGAGAATCATTATCTGATAAACATGTTTCAAAAATGCCAAATGAGCGTAATCAAAAATACAATTGTAGAAAATAAATATTTGAAATATGCATTGTTGCTTGTTTCACCACAAACTTAAATCACAAAAAACAAAACCTGTCTATGTGTTTAATTAGAATGGACTGCAGAGTAGTGCCAGTGGTCAGCACTGTTGCCTTGCAGCAATGAGACCCTGGGTTTAAAACACAGCCGGGGAGTTTCTGTAGAATTTCATTGTGCAAAACGAGTTTCCTTTGAAATTAGGCAACAGTCTCTTTGAGACTCGGAACAGGATCAAATGGGTACAGAAAAAGCATGGATGGACATTTGGTCTTGACTTCTTATTCTTGCATGTCAAAGCGTTTTTAGGAAAGATTCCACATGTTACCCCCGGCCTACTGCTCAGTGTGAACGTGAGTGTGTGAACAGGTGAGTAGGTTGTGATATTGTAGGCATTCTTGATAAAATTACAATAGCTCCTAATACTTCTGTGAAAAACCTTGGTGTGATCTTTGACATTTCATATTAAAGGGATCCCCGATTATTTGTAACATTAGACTTTATTTGATAAACATATATATTTAACTGTTAAATTAAGACTGTAAAAATACTGTAGGATGTTTAGTTTTGTAAATGTTTAAACTAAAAGTTTCAAACTATATTACATGGATGGAGCCATTTTATTTACATACAAAGCATTCTGGGTAAATGATGATGTGGATAGGTCCTCAGTGTGAGGCTGCTAGCGAGCTATATCCACCCTGAAGTTTAATATTAGACAATATCTGATGATCGACTCTTTTAAATGAAACCAGAGAGCGTTGACAGAGAGGAGAAGGTAGAAATGACTCAGCCTGAAACTGAAAATATGGATGGAGGACAACAGAGCTGCTTCATGGAAGAAGAAMCTCAGCTTAGCCTGTTAGCTTTCGCGTTAGCCCCGACGCTGTCACCATATATATGTATTAGCTCAGCGCTACACATTCTCCTCTCGTCACTGAGGTCCTCTATCCACATGACAGCGAGGGGAATGCAAAAATGACTCAGCCTGCAACTGAAAATATGGATGGAGGACCTCAGTTTAGCTTGTTTGTCGCGCTAGTGCTCAGCTAATACATATAAGGCAATATAGAATTGGCGCTAGTGCAAAGACTAACAGGCTAAGCTGAGGTTCTTCTTCCATGAAGCAGCTCTGTTGTCCTCCATCCATATTTTCAGTTTCAGGCTGAGTCATTTCTACCTTCTCCTCTCTGTCAACGCTCTCTGGTTTCATTTAAAAGAGTCGATCATCAGATATTGTCCAAGATTAACCTTCAGGGTGGATATAGCTCACTCACACCGAGGACCTATCCACGTCATCATTTACCCAGAATGCTTTGCGTGTAAATAAAATGGCCCGTCCGTGTTAAAATACAGTACATTTTTAAAAATTTACAAAACTAAACACCCTACAGTATTTTTACAGTCTTTATTTTACAGTTAAAATAAATGTTTATCAAACAAAGTCTAACGTTACAACTAATCGTGGTTCCTTTTAAGTAAGTCTCCAAAACAGTATTTTTCCATCTTTGTACATCTGTAAATTAGAAGATGAAAAACTGGTCAGATCCTTCATCATTTACAGACTAGACTAGAAAAGTTATTCTGGTTATCAGAAGAGTTAAATAAAAGCCTTATAGCTTATTCAGAAAGCTGCAGCTGCTGATGGTTCTTCTAAGATTCATATTTCCTCTGTTTTAGCCTTCCTGTGAATAGAAGAAAAAAAAATATAAATACCCCACATTATAAATAAAGCCATGAATGGCCTCCAGTGGCTTCAGTGTATAAAATAGCAAAGTGTCCCCTGCAACTGAAACAGAATACTTTGCACCATGCAGGTCTAATAGACGTTTCAGGAAATTCTACAACCAGAACAAAAGGGAGGGTCTTTGTTTTCAGGCTCCTCTCCAAGACCAAGTACATGATAAATGCAGCTTATTACCAATAATGAAATTCTGTGAGCTCAATAAATCTCCTAATGATGCAGTTTTAAAAATGTATTAATAATTAATAACTTCATCAATAAACTAAGCCCACATAAATGCATAAATAGCAATTAGCAAAGTACATAGAATGCACAGCAAAAAAAAAAAAAAAAAAAAGGACAAATACCTGACCCTGTCCATGATCGGGAAGTTAAATGTTTTGTTGTGAATCTAAACAAATCGGCAGCTGTTCACAACCTCAGAGTAAATAACGTCCACCTGTTCTGTTTGTATTTAATAAGCTGCTTAAACTGAACCTACAGATGAACAGATAAACATCCACCTGAAAGGCTGCATTCAGGCCAAGGTGCTCAATCAAGTCAGCTTTGCTTTGTGATCTATGTGGTATCGCTCTACATGTTTACAAACATTATGTCTACCTTTACTGCTTTATGTGCATGCATCAATATTTTTATTATGCTGACAAACATTAATAATGTCTAGACTGGAATTGTATCACATGGCTTAAGTTTAAGTTCATCTGTTTTCAAATTCAAGGGAAACACTAAACAAAATTGAACAGAAAACCTCGCACATCCTGATGGTTAAGCTCTTCTGTGATTCAATGTGTTCCTCGCCATAAATATTCTTGTCAACCACTTAGCAGATCTCTATCTCCAACTCTTTGGAGTGAAGTGCACTACAGAGGCTTTTGATGGGTCATTTCATTGCCCTTATCTTGTTTTTTTTTTTTTCCCTTTTTACACAGCAGACATCTCTGTGTCCCAGCTTCCCGAGTACAATAAGCAACATTCAGAGAAATACTGTACATTTTATA